CTCCCCCCTTCTCCCTGGTGCCCCCCCCCGCCCCCCTCCCTTTCCCCCCCCCGTCCCCCTCCCTCCCCCCTCCCCTCCCCCCCTTCCCCCCCTCCCCTCCCTCCCCCCTCCCTCTCCCCCTCCTCTCCTCCTCCCTCCTCTCTCACACACATGTACACACACATTTATCTATTTTCTGTCTATCTACTATTCACCTACCCATGTACATTTATGTATGTTTTTATTAATTGTTAAAAAGCCAAAAATTTATTAAAAGAACAATTGATTTTGATTAGCTTAAACTTTTAAATTCAAACTCATTTAAGGCAATGGACCAGTCTTCAATGAACAAGCCAAAAAGGATAGGGTAATTTAAGAACAATGGGCTTGAGATTCAAAATGGTGCTAGGCTTGCTGCTTTGTCATCGGGAGGGTTACACTTTCATGGCTCTCCCACCAAAAAGACTCAGACTGGTTTTGCTTCCCCAACCCAAGCTGGCAGCACCCACACAGGTACAGCCTGGGTCTTAGGGTACAGGCTGCTCTCACCAGCAACCCACATCCTACTGCGCTCATTTCTAGCATTTGGGTTTGTAATGCAGTTCAAGGGTGAAGAAATTGTTGAGGTTTCCTCAAAGATTCGGTCTGGAGGTAAACTTGCTTCCCTCCTCCTCCACTCAGCAAGACGTGCCTTCTCGACAAACCCACATGCTGGACCCAGTGGTACTGTCCTTATTCAGCAATTTGTCTGTTGGAGAATAAGTTCTTCCCACAGCCCCCCATGCTCTGTGACAGAGACTTAGATGAGAAGAGACGGAAGTCATTTCTTCCCCAGTGCTGTGACCCAGGCGAATGTTCAGTCCCACCTGTGGACTGTAACATTGCTTCTACCTCTGGGGAAGTCTAACAAAGCTGCAGGGTTGGAGTTTTGAGCTCCCAGGAGGGAAGATCTTACCTAGTGAGATAACATCCGCTTCCACTCCTACTCTTAAACTAGAAACTCTGGAATCCTTAGACATAATAGGGCTGGGCTTGCCTTTCTGGGAATGTTAGCAATTCCACTTCCCCACCCCGTGCTGCTCGGCAGCATTTTCTAGATTCCCTTCATTCTGAAGGGATTACATACCCCACTAAGTGACTTAATTTAAGAGAAGCAGCACCCATGATATGAAATAAATCATGTGACTTCAGAAGCCTGTGTGTCCCCGCAAGGGGAACTCCAAAGGAAAGGTGGCCTTATGGCCTTTCTTCCCCATGGTCGGCGTGATGCTAGGCAGCCTTGGAGTATAGGCCCAGACTCACGGACAAGCCTGGGGGGTTCTTTCTCTTGTGTATTTTTTTCCTAGTTAGGAGTAATTTCTAGTCGAGTAAACTTGGGCACTGCAAACAGAGAGTGGCGTTTCCTGTCTGATCTCTAGTGTTGTAAACTCTTAAACCTTGGCAGGAGTCATCCCATTAGTCTCTGAGTGAGTCTGTCATCTATTTATCTATCTATGTATGTGTCTGTCTGTCTGTCTATCTATCTATCATCTGTCTATCTATCTATCTGTCTGTCTGTCTGTCTATCTATCTATCTATCATCTATAGATCTATTATCTATCATCTATCTGCCTACATCTATCATTTATCTACTTATGTGTTTATCTTTCAATCATCTATCATCAATCACTATCATCTATCTTCCTCCCTTTTCTACTATATATGTATGTATGCATGTACATGTGAGTTTGAGTGTGTGTTTGTGTGTGTGTAACTTGTTAGCTGTGTTATGTGGAACTTTGGCTCACTACTAAGAAGTTCTTCATGTACACTGGCTACTTAAGATTCTAAACCTTAGCCAGGCAGTGTTGGCGCACACCTTTAATCCCAGCACTTGGGAGGCAGAGGCAGGCAGATTTCTGAGTTCGAGGCCAGCCTGGTCTACAGAGTGAGTTCCAGGACAGCACAGAGAAGCCTGTCTCAAAAAAAACCAGAAAGAAAGAAAAAAAAAAGATTCTAAACCTTTCCACCCAAGCATGTTATCTCAGAGTCATCCTAAAGGACTTTCCTCTTGAAGGTTAGGCATATGGGCCATGCCTGGGTCACAGTATTTGAAAGGCTGATTCAGGTGCCTTGGTGTACACTTGAGGCCAGCCTAGCCCACATGGTGAATTCCTGACCAGCTAGGGGAACAGAGTGAAACTCCATCTAAAAATAAATAAATAATTGCCTCTTTAAAAGAAGAAGAATCAGTTTTTAGAAATCTGAATCCTTATTTTACTTCCTTCTCTGTTATTCCAAAGAAGCAAGCCACTTTATTCATACTGGAAATAGTAGAATGAATTGATCCTAGTAAAGGTTGGTGGCTGTCTTGAAACAGGATGCTGTACTTCCAAGCCTCCCAAGGATGGGTACTGGGTAGAACTTGCCTTTTCTGTGTCTGACTCATTTTCCCAGCTCCATGGGGTTGTCAAAAGAATAGTGTTCTTCTTTTTAAATAGTGTCTTTCTTCCAAAAAACTGCATTCTCAAATGAGACGCTCTTTACAGAGGAGTGGCCTCACCCACCACTAAAATGTCACAGTTGCTTTAGGACAAATTGGAACTGTGCAGAGGGAACAGTGGCAACAGTGGGCAGGAGTGTGAATACAGAATGTGAGGTGAGCCGCAGGGAAGGGAGACAGCAGTGCTCTGTCCTGGTGCTCTGAAGTGGGAGTGACAGTCTCCTGAGCTGACGGGGGCATATGATGACATGCTACCTCTTTCAACTTTCTTCTACTTCATCTTTTTCACGGGATGCTGCTGGAGCCATGGTTTTCGTCCTTTACACATAGGTTAGAAGTGAACTCAGATCTGTTGCGATACTTGGGCTGTAGCTACATAGACCTTCCATTCCAGAGCCTCCTGATAGGCTCAGCTCTATAAGAAAAGGATTATAACAGTGACCACCATGCAACTGCATGCCTGCTTATTGAGGAATGAGTGAAGACATACTCTGTGCTCAAATGTTTAAACTAGAAAAAAAAGAAGCAAACTTCCTGATATATCTATATCTATCTATATCTGTACCTATACAAAATGAACTAGAAGTATATCAAACAATATGCAACTAAATGCTATGTTATAGATTAAAGACACCAGAGGAATATGAGATGGCAAAGAATAGGTAAGGTCAGTGTAGATAGGCTGCAGTATGGGAAAGTTTTGTGTGGGATGTGGACTTTGAAGCCTGACCTTCAATGTGGATATTTGACTGAAATGGGGGGAACAGATGCAGCTGTTCCACTTAGTGGGGGTGTTAAAATGAAAGGATTCCCAGAGAGACGTCAGATGGTGTTGCCGACTAGATGCTGTCCTTTCCAGACAGAGACACTGGTTCCCTTCCCTCCCTGTTACTTGTGAGATCTTTCAGAGTTTACTTTCTTCTCTCTGTATCTCTGTTAGAAGCCCAAGAAAAACCTAGCATTTTAAGATACCGGCTTCTGTTAGAAGATCCTGTCTTAATTCACGTACAAGTCCTAGACTACAGGGTTGGGAAGGAATTTAGATGTTTTCCTAAGTTGAAGATTAATCTATCCTATGTTGGTAGCCTATTGAAAGTCGTGCTTTGTCTTCATGATGTTCAGTGATGACTGTCAGCTTGCTAGGTTCTAGAGTCACCTAGGAGACAAGCCTCCAACTTGTCTAGGATTGGGTTAACTGAGATGGGAAGACCTATTCTAGGTGTGGATGGAACCATCAAATAGTCTGGGATCCTGGGCGGAGTAAAAGGGAGAAAGAGGGCTGAACA